ATTGAGTTGATTACATATAATGAAAAAAGAAAAGAAAAGAACAAATAAAGAATCAAAAAAAAGATAACATTTTACGGTAAAATACGGGACGACGTTTTTTTTTGTTAAAGGGTTAACCCCTAGTTATTTAGGTAGAATAGACATAGACTAGAATCTGAAGTTTTGTCGGCGACATAGACATAGAAGACCACTGTTAAGTACAAGTTTGTTTGTAAGTGTAAGTGGAGGCCCACATGTCTAACTGTTACAAACAAACAGTCATTTAGTTATTTAAGTGACATACAGAGCCCCTAAATAGTATAAGTATGTTTCTTTCGCACCTACGCTATCGTTTGTGTGTGTGTGTTCATGTATTTTCCGTAATTAGTGTGGTTGAAAGAAAAATATGATACGCATTAATGCTAGTGGTAGTTTTTTGTTTATGTATAATCATAACTAAATAACTTTTCCCGACGGAGGATTAATGGTCCTAGAAAACGACTGTTCGTAAAGAACACGACCAACTTGTCGGAATTCGACGTCTTAATATTTCTCGTACTTCGTCTTCTGTCACAATCGCCATAGTTTTGGTGTTTGGAAAAAAGCGAAAGTCTTTACACATTCGGATTTTCTATGAACGCTTCATGACTTTGACCGCAGTAAAAAGACACTCGTATTCTATATAAACAATGAAGAATAACTAGTATAGCAGGACCAAGGAAAATGACAAAAAATCTTCGAACGGTATTTTTTTTTTCTGAGTCGAAGGTGAGATTTGGTGATGTTCCTTTTCTCGTCAAACAACGGAGAAAATCTGTACGCACATCCTTCGGGACTCTACCCCTTCTCCGCGCAACTCGTGTTCGTTAGGTGTAGGGTGGTGTGAGGCCAATTGGGGGGGGGGGGAGTCGGACCGAGTGGCGAGAGACGATAGGTTACGGAGAGTCTTGCAGGGTAACCTCACACTTACATTTCAGTTGTCTATGCTTCACAATTTGGGGTAGACCACCCAATCGGTGTGGGTAGTGTGTGTGTGTGTTGTGTGTGTGTGTGTGTGTGTGTGTGTGTGTGTGTGTGTGTGTGGTGGTGTGTTGTGTGTGTGTGTGTCGTGTGTGTGTGTGTGTGTGTGTGTGTGTGTGGGTGTGTGTGTCGTGTGTGTGTGTGTGTGTGTGTGTGTGTGTCGTGGTGTGATGTGTGTGTGTGTGTGTCACCACTTCAGAGTGGCGAAGGTTTCCTCATGTCTGTTCCCCCGTCCGACATCGATAACCGTTGGGTCTTCTTAGCCTTTACTCACCCGTTTCGAACTTAACAATTCTCGACTTCGGATCCCCGTTCTGAAACAGTGAAAAACAGTAAATCACACGCAACGAACTGCAAACAACTGGTGTTCTCATCCCCTCTGAGGACAGAGGGAGTCGGGGGGGGAAGGACAGACACGGCGGAGGGAAGTAAGACAAACTCGCAGCACCACGCTCCAACAGGTCGCTTAGACATTACTATCTAGAACCCGCTCGTCGTGTCGTAAATGAGTGACTTTTGTGCCAGGTATTTGGCCTCCTTCCTTTGTGACTCACCCGTAGCGTAACTCAAGTGTGTGAACGTAATGATTAACTTACTTTACTTGGTAGAAGTCGACCCCTCTATGTCTTCGTGGGCGTCTCATTGGTACTGTAGTTTAATTCTGGTATGTTCGTCTTCCAGAGTGACTTCAGTCCGTATACAAGGATAATCGGAACCATCCTCCTCACGAGGGTCTCCGTCACATACGCCGTGACTCTCAACTAGTTGACTACCACAGGTCACGCCGCTGCTCGCTCCTGAGATATTCAGACAGTACGTTAGTTAGTTAGTAGTGTGTAGTGTAGTACGTTAGTAGTGTAGTGTGTGTGTGTGTGTGTGTGTGTGTTGTGTGTGTGTGTGTGTGTGTGTGTGTGTGTGTGTGTGTGTGTGTGTGTGTGTGTGTGTGTGTGTGTGTGTGTGTGTGTGTGTGTGTGTGTGTGTGTGTGTGTGTGTGTGTGTGTGTGTGTGTGTGTGTGTGTGTGTGTGTGTGTGTGTGTGTGTGTGTGTGTGTGTGTGTGTGTGTGTGTGTGTGTGTGTGTTCCTCGTGCAGATGCTGGCGGTGTGTTTGCTGTCAGAAGGTCAGAAGCTTTATTTACACTGGAGTCACAAGGTAAGTCTCTCACACACTCAAAGTCTAATGTCAGCTGCTAATTACTGAATTAATTTAGTATGTTAAATATAACAACATCATTGTGATGGATCAGGCTCCTCCCCCTCCTCCTCCTCATGTTCATCAAAACATCAAATGATCCATGTGTTGAATCCTTGCTGTGCTAAGACTTGATGTAAAGTAAGATTGACTCAAGTGTGAGGTGCTTCCTGTTGTTAACTCCTGTGGTTCTGCTCTCCTGTAAGGCACGATGATGAACTGTGGAGCTCTGTTTCTCCTCAGATTGGGATCGCTGTGAGTCTGACGTTCTCCATCGTAGCGACCGCTGTGTTATCTGACCTCTGGAGCAAAGAGCTGACCACGCTGCTGCTCTCCTTCCAGGTCTCTAAATCTCTCAAATATCTAAAAAGAAAACGTGCAAATGAAATAAAACCCCACATATCAAAATGTGTTTGTAGAAGAGAAACATTTAAAGGTCTACAGGGCGGAAGTCAATTCAAATGAAAACTGATCCACACATTTTTACTTTCGATATATGACAGTATTTTTCAAAGTTCAAGAAGTGTTAATGTCTCCAGGTGACTGCTCCAGATGGGAAAGATCTGATCTTGAACTCTGAAATAAACAATAATTAATTATAACAAAACTAGAAAGAAATATTTAAAAATGTCAAAAACGATGTCTTACTTTTGATGAAGTTCTAGAATTCTTCTGAATAAATTCATATCATTTAAATCATTACTGACCTAATTTTTTCAATTTCAAGATTTTCTTTTTACATCTTAAAAGGGAAAACATGTGACATAAAATGTGGACAAATTTCGAGTTAAAAGAAAAAGGACTGAAAGTGTGTAAAATAAGATCTTAATCCTAAAAGAAAGATAAAGTTTAAATGAAATGAGACCTCACATATCAAAATGTTTACACAAGTGAAAAAATGAAAAGATCTACAGGACTAAATTAAATTAATATTCAACCTAAAAAAAAAACTTTAATCCGCTTATTTTTACTTCCAATATATGATAGTATTTTTAAAATTTCAAGAAGTGGTTGTTTTTAAAATAAAATCTCAGGTGTATCTCCAGATTCCTGCATCTGCTCAGTGTGATTTCCTCTCCTTATAGAAATATTAGTATTACTTTATTCAGAATTTTTCTGAAGACATACCTAATATGGGCGGCTGTGGCTCAGTGGATAGTGTGCTGGACTTCGAATCAGGGGGCAGCAAGTCCGAGTCCCACTGCAGTCAGCATGTCGTTGTGTCCCTGAGACACTTCACCTAGGGCTGCTCAATTAATCGTATTTTAATCGCGATTACAATTATGGCGTGCAACGATTACGAAAACAACGTAATCGAAATAAAACGATAATTTTTTTTATTATTACTTTTTTTTTTTATAATTTTTTTTTTTGGGGGGGGTTTCAGTTGAATTATACTTAAAGTTCAGGGTAATCAACTGTTAAAAACATACTGTTCACATTTTCTTTCTCCAATAAATGGATGTTTCCAAAGTCAATGAATAATCGCATTTAATAATCGCAATTACAATTATTGACCCAAATAATCGAGATTATGATTTTTGCCATAATCGAGCAGCCCTACTTCAACATACTTTTCTATGACAGTGTTAACATGTTCTATGTTTTGGTCATATTATAATATGATTTCTTTCATATTTTTTGACATACCCCTTTGACATTTCACCCCGCCCTTATATCACTTTATCAGGTGTGTAGTTAACGACTCGTTGCACTTTTAACAAACCTATTTTTCTGGAGCTCCTTGGTAAATCCGCCTTCTGTCTTTCCGGCTGAAGGGAACCTTTTCAACATGTCAACCTAAGGAAAATGTATATTACACTTTATTCCATATTCGACACAAGCTTCAGGCCAAATGACAAATCTAAAAATGGAAGCCCTTCACTCACTGCTGTTAATATGTACATTAATGATCTAGCCTGTACCTGGTCTTCCAGTTTCCGGATGTTTATCTGCGCGTTCTCCTCACGCTCCTTCGTCTCCTTCAGCTGTTGTTTCACTTCAGAAAGGCTGGAGGTCTTCTGGGAAAGATCCTTCTCCAGCTCCTTCATCTTGTTCTCAAACATTCTGCGGATACAAGTGAAAGAAGCCATAGATCACACTCAGTGGACTGTCCTTAAGGCCTGCAGCTCCAACATAATGTCAAGCTTTTGAATCCCTAAGCCTATAATAATAAATAACAGTAACATGTACGGCAACCTTCATACAAGAAACGCAGCAACAAGTGTTTTAAAAACAACTGAATAGACATAAAAACAAGGATGATGTCAAATTACGGTAATAGGAAATTAGGTAGGAACACTTTATAGTAACAGTGACAATAAGGTTCAATTAGATGAGAGAGACATGTGAAAAGCCTGAGTAGGAAGGCGTTAATAGAGACTGGAATGAATAGTTTCTATCTCTACTGCTGCAGATTTAACTGTCCAACCACAGCGCCTAAGATAAGACTAACAGATAGTATTAAAGGTCCCCTATGAAACTGTTTTTATCAATATATTACAGGTCTCAGATAAATACAGAACCTGTCTCTGATTTGGCTGGAACACCAAACAGATCATTGCAGCATTACCCATAATCCCCTCTGTTTCAGCCCTGTTTCCAAAGTGCTGATTCTCTGTCTGTTACTTTAGATGAAAATAAGGAGCCCCTCCCCACGCCCCTCAGAGAGATATTTGGTTTAAAAAGAACACAATGGTGCTCTAGGAGGAGATTCAGGTGGGGGGGGGGGGGTTACCTTGGTTGCTGATTGGCTAATGGTTACACAAGACAAAACATCGTTATGACATCATAAAGTGGCCAAAATCTGATCAGCTCATTTTCAGACAGGTTTTTATAGAAATTGATCAGGACAAAAAGAGAGAGAATCTTTGTTCCTGAAACTTTCAGAGTCTCTTTCCACAGAGGGGACACATGTTGATGTAGAAGAAACATGAAGAAGAGGGGACACATGTTGATGTAGAAGAGACATGAAGAAGAGGGGACACATGTTGATGTAGAAGAGACATGAAAGAAGA